AATATTAATTTAATTACAGAAACAATATGATTGCATATTTCATATTTCAATTTCAATGAACAATAGGAAATGCTGTTAATTACTCCAATATAAAAATGGACAAAATTGAAATTTGACTTACTTTATTTTCTAATTCTTTGTAATATCTGAAAAATAAACAAGTTATTATTACCTCTCCACCGATTATGACTTATAGTCGTACCATTAATTGTAACAGAACCACCAGAGTAAGTTACATTAATACCATCTCCCCAATTATGATCAATATAGGAAGCATTAATCCAAATATCAGCTGCTCCATTATTTACCAAAATACCTGCCTGTCCCTCATTTCCTACTACTGTTATGTTTGTAAACGCTGTATGTTTGCGTACTTCACGTACCAAAATACCATTTCCAGCATTATTTGCTGTCACAGAGTATGTTATGTTTAAACTGTAAAATGCCTTACCTAAAGTAATTTTTCAATTTTCATATTTGAAAAAATTTTTTACTATTTTTTTGTTAAAACTTGATTTAAAATTAATTCCTCGCAGTCAACAATAAATTGATAATAATAATTCAGCGTGACAATATTGCTTTTTGTTATAAATAAATATGTATTATTACTACTGATAATGGTAATTTTTTCGTTAATGGCTAATAATTATTATCATTTGCATTATCAAAGTGATCACAAGATGGCGAAATATAAATGTTACTTTCCAAATCCAAAATCATTTAAAAATATACATATTTGTATTTCATGATTTGAATTTTTAATTAAAAAAACACCAAATTTGTTTTAATAAAACTTTTTGTAAATGAAGCAATTTACTTAAAATCAGGTTTGAAATTTTAAATTCGTTATTTTTCAATTATAAGATGCAAATCTAATAACACTTGAAAGAATTTTAATATTTGGATTTTTAAATTATAATATTTATGGACAGATATCAGTGCTTATGATGATTATAATTCTATGTTTACGATGTTTTTCTGAACCTACCAGTAAGAAAAACATGGATCCGAAATATTACATGGATATCACCAGCTACTCGACCACTTAATCCATTTATTAAATGCTCAAGCGAAAAGTAAATCGGTTGACCAGAATTG